TGTATCCTTTCTTATTAACTTTACCGACGTCCTTTTACTTTACGTTTAGTAATTTTCTCACTGATTAGTCCTGCGCATTCTGGTCTTCGCCACTCTTTTGTGTTTGTTGCCCCGATCAAGACAAAAACGCTTGAAATGTTGGTAGGCCTACTTCCATTGAAACACTTTACGCCTCCAACCCCCCCCAAATTCTCTCTTAACTTTTTTAAAGTTCTCAGGCTGCCTGCTTTTCCCCTCAATGCTCTACCCTCCCCCCCTCCCCCCAACCCCAACCTCCATCCAAACCTCTCAAGTCTCCCCGCCCAGTTTATGATTATGGGAGCTCCAGATCCTCTAGATTCGGGAACTTCCTCACGGCTTGCCGCTATATCTGACACGGAAATTAAGTATGTTAATAAGGACTGCGACCATAAAAACGGTCACCGCTGCTGATGAACTTTGCTGGTTACTCATCCACCCGCTCCCGTAGTTTACGACCCGTGCCGGGTTTATTTATGAGACTTCGTGAGTAACCTTGTGGCCATTATTCCATAACCTCATGGGGCGAGGTTGGGGGTAGGGGTGGCTGGAGAAGGGGGGGGGGGGGCTGCAGTTGTCTAGATGCGCGAGACTCGGTGAGAGCGATCGGTGCAAATACGTTAGTTTAGATTCAGCCCTAGAAAAAGTTGTTATGATGATGGCCTTTGCTGCATGGTTGATAAGACAAAGGTCTGTCTTTGTATTTCGTCTGTAGATGAAGCAAAGGTAGGCTTCTTACCTACAGCTGGGGAAAGTGATTGGACAAAGGCTATTAGTTAACAACAGACTGAAAGGAGCAAGAGAATGTGGCGAAAACATACCGTTTTGAAAATATTTTTGATCGGGTGCTTTCATAAGATAGAGCGTCTAGATTGAACTCAGTTACAATCTTATATATTTGTGATAAAATGTCTTTTATAAATAAGCCGAGATGACTTTTATAGCTGTCAAAACAAGCTACTTTTATTGAAAGTTCAGACACATACGTCAAGAAAGTTTTTATTTTTAGCTAATCAGACACAGAGGCATATCAAGGTAACCAAATATTTGTGTTGTCTCCTCTTCACGCAAACTGTCAGGTGAAGTATGATCTTGTATAGTTATGATAGCTTTACGAGACATCGTAAGTATATTTCTGTTGTTTCATTACAGTTTCTGTCCAAACCAGCGTTTTTTAACCTTCAGTGCTAACTTGTGGTGAAGAAGGAAAATAAGCTCAGAATCTGCTATTCGTGGATACATTGTTGGAATTCCTTCATTTTCGAGATATCACACTCTCCTTCATCAGCGGGAAGATTAGAAAAAGCCATGGAGCAAGAACAAGCTGTTAAGATGCATTGCAATCCTTAGCCACGTAGGCTTGCATTGCTGTGCGTACACCGTGGCTCTTTTGTGATAAGGATACAGGGGTCAAGATTAATGCCGCCGATCTGCACGGACAAAATGGCGTCGGCATCTCACGCCTGATTTCTTGCGCATACGCCGGAATCCGGAAGCGGTCGAGAAAGCTAACGGAAGTGACGCATGATTCACGACCATCTTGCCCTTCATCGAGGCCAGCGTGGACTTTGACGAACGATACTGCATAGCTTAATCACGCCCCCACACCCTCAACCCTTTCCCTGGCCACCCATTTTTCTAGTCCCCCTCCCTTTCCTCTCTCCTTTTTTCTCGCTCCATATCTCTCGCAATATTGCCCCCCCCCCCCTCTCTCTCTCTCTCTCTCTCTCTCTCTCTCTCTCTCTTTCTCTCTCTCTCTCTCTCTTTCTCTCTCTCTCTCTCTCTCTCTCTCTCTTTCTCTCTATGTCTCTCCCTCTTTTCTTTTCTTTTTCTTTCTTTCACTCCCTCCTCAGTCTTTCTTCAATACTTTGGTATAGCAAACATAGTATACTCTGTCGATTGTTTTGTGATCACTGGTTCATTGGGCTATGATATTTTTCTCTCTCTGTGTTTTTACCTGTCTGTCTCTCTTTTTCTTGCTCTCCCTCTTTTATTACAGACGTTTAACCGTACGTGCTAAACAGGTTTGTCAGTGTTTGGTTTTTCAGTTGTGCCCTTTTTAAAAAAAGATATTCACTAGTGGGGTAAAGATTGATGCTGTGGAGTCATGTATTTTAAAAAAATTATACCGACCATATTATTGAGATAAGAAAGATGGCAAGTGGGTTTTACACCCCGACTACATTGATGGGGTTTTACAGTGCTTGCAAATGCACACATATAGCGAACTACAAAATGTATGTGAGCTTCATCTCATAATATGATTTTTTTTTCTTTTCTATAATGAGTACGAGCAGTCAATTTAAAAATCCTGTCCCTCTGATAGATCTGTCTCGAGTTTGGCATATGCACCCGTCGTAATCAAAGCAGGCGTGAGCGCTGTCTTGTAAACTATTTTTCCCAGCCTAAAAAATTGCAGCCGGGTGGCGCCCGGATTTGAAATTATTTTACCTTGCTTATAGAGTTTCTTACGTCTATCGCTTGTTAAATGAGCGCGAGATGTGATTATAGCAACAGGTATCCCTTTGGACACTTGCCAAACTTTGCGGTTCCGGGTGGAAGGAAGGGTGGGCATATATAGAAGAGAAGAAGGGTGGGGGAAAGGGGGAGGGGAGTTAGAAAAAAAAGAGAGGAAGGGGACTGGAGTAGGAGGGGAGGAGCAGAAGCTAGTTGGCGCCCATGGTCCGGGCTAAGAAGCCATGAGCTTTCCTCGTTCAGCTCTCCTAAACAAAACGGTTTGAGCAGCTCTTATCAGTCGAGGATGGCTTTTCAATTTCGGAGAGCCATTTCGCCAAGTTCCGCAGCGATAGTGCTTACTAGCGGGTTAACAGCGTTCGGATCTTCCTACCCCGTTTGTTATTTTGGCGGGAAAAGGTGTTCGCGAAAAGTCCGTGTTTTGAGAGGGGCATGTGCGGTAAATCAAGTAAGTCCAAAGACGTCAGTATTTGTATGCTCAGCAGCTTGATAGCCACTGAATAAATGCCGTGTCTATAACCCTGCCAAAGCGTGTTTTGAAAGCAACGTGGTGCGGGATTTTGATTTATTATCAATCGATATGGCAGTAGAGATAATTTTCTTTTAGATGGCTGTGGAAAGTGTATTTATTCCTAACGTTTGGTGTGTGTGCCATCTTTTGTTCCCGTATATTCAGAAGAATTTCTAATTCAAAGGGTTAAATAACACACACAACTCTATGACAAAAGCTTTGATAGGTTTATCAACATAAAGGTTAAAAAGAAAAACACAAAACCGTGGGTGCAGAAAGTTAGAAGAGTGTGAATAAGGTGAAATAATGTATCAAGGAAAAGCGTCTTTTACGTTTATGTTCCCATCCTATTCACAGACGGGATTCTCTGGATTTAGATGTTTTATTCTTTCACCTCGATTTCGAAATGTGTATCTATGATAGGATGGGAATTATCGCTGTGTATCAAATCCCAGTTTCGACATTATAAACAATTGTTGTCATTTTCTCTTTCAGTAAAAGTGAAGCAAGTGTATGTGGTTAACGCCCCTATTAAAACTATTGGGTTTTTTAAGAGGCAATACCTCCAAATTTAACGTCCATCTCCGATAGGACCGAGCCAAATGGGTCAATTGCCTTGAAAACTCAAAATGACTCAGAGTTCAAGAACGCCCAGTCTTGGATTTGAGCCTGGGACATCCGCTCTGTAGTCTGTGATGATACCTTTTGAGTTAACGTAGGGACTTTAGCCTTTTCAGAACAGAAAGGATATTGATTGAAAAGTCAAGACAACCATTACTCCATCGCATGCTTTTCTCCGCCGAGCGTAGCAAAAATTGGTGACTTTCCATGACTCACGGTACCGAGAAAACATATTATTTCTCGACAGTCATTTTTACTAACTTATATTCACAATTGATACGTGTAGCTCAGTTTCTGCTTTTCAGGATTATTTTTTTTTAATTTGGGACCCCCCCCCCCTTCCACACACACACACTCATCGAAGGGGTTTAAAGGGTTGTCAGTTCAAACCCGTGTTTGTTTTTAGAGAGGAAACAATTACCCTCGGTGAAAAATTCAGACCCTTTCCATTTCTATTTTAACAATCATTGCTGTTTCTCTCTAACTCTCCTTTCACTCATTTACTCTTTTCTAGATTGACTGCCATCCCAACTTATTTCCACGGTAAATGTCGGTCTCGAAAGAACCAATCTTAAGTTCCTTCCTCCCCCCCCCCCCCCTCTCTCTCTCTCTCTCTCTCTCTCTCTCTCTCTCTCCCCCCCCCAATCTCCAGTGTTAAAGATAACACCATTGTCGAAGAGAAAAGTGGTCATCCATAATAGGTCATCCTGTGGAGCAGTGGCATTTTAATTCAGAAAATACGCTAGGGGGTATTGGGAAGCTATTAGAATTTATACAGATGGTTATCTTGAACCGGTGATCGTTACAGCAGCTTCGACTACATTATGTAGATGTTCAGCCTTTTAAGACATTTCGTAAAAATTTGGTCTCAAACAAAGGTGGCCAGGGTTCGAATACGATTCTGTGACTAGAATTTGTGAAGGTTGTAATATTTTAACGCCTGATTGTCATAATTTTCGATCGGGAAACGGGTTACTTCTACTTTACCTGCCATGCTTCCCCACGCGAATATCGGAGTTACGTCTTCTGCGTGCCAAATCGGAGAGTCCAATATCTACTCCACAGACGCTGGCGTCCTGAATTGGGTTCAAAGAGCGTAAATCAAAGAAGAAGTGTAACTCTATATATTCGTTTGATAGAGGATTTACGGCATTTGTAACACTTAAGGTAGGGTCAGTGTCCAAGATTTGTATTACACGAGAAAAAAAAGAAGTAAGAAAGAGAGAAAGTAGCAAAGACAATCGCAAATAGCGATAAATCGAAGAAGCAGATCAAACCACAGCGTCCTCCAACCGACCACAATTTCAACTCCATGTTTGTTTGTCCGTATTTCAGAAACAGAAAGATCGAACAATAGAAGAAGTAAACCAAACCACAACTCCTACCTGCCGCACACAAATTCAACTCTATCTTTGTTTGCCCCTCTTTCAGAGACAGCAAGATCGCCCAGCTGTTGAGAGACTCTTTGGGTAACCTGTCGTGTCGTACCTGCATGATAGCACACGTGTCATCAGCGGTACCTCACTACAACGAGAGTCTTCAGGTCATCCAACTGGCCGCTCGCATACACAGGATGAAGCGGAGGAGGATCAAAGTGAGTGCTTGTAGTATTATGTTGTGTCTGTTGCTGTCAGTTTGTTGTTGTTGTTGTTGTTGTTGTTTTTGTTGTTGTTGTTGTTGTTGTTGTTGCTGTTGTTGTTGCTGTTGATATTCTAAATTTCATGATAATAGTAGTGGTAACATTCGAAGTGAGTTACTCTTGGTGTCGTGGCCAATGATGTATTTACCATTGAAAGCTGACAGAACAGAGCAAAAACTCTTATCATTAGTCTATCACTATTTAGAGCGAATATAATATGATAGTGATGCTGCTGCTGCTGCTGCTGCTGCTGCTGCTGCTGCTGCTGCTGCTGCTGCTGCTGATGATGATGATGATGATGATGATGATGATGATGATGATGATGATGATGATGATGATGATGATTTTCCTTCTCTTTGAAGATCGAATACATTTATCTTATTTTTCCTCAGTTTTCGAGCACCAGCTCCGAGGACAGCTCCACAGACGGTGATGTGAAGTTCCGCCGGCCGTACCGCGGTCTGCGAATGGGCACACTGCGAGAAGACATCCTCTACTCATCCTCCCACTCTGACCCAGATTACACCTCCAGCAGTGAGCAGTCGTGCGACACTGTCATCTACATCGGCGCCAACGGCCAGTCGCTCAGCGACAGAGAGCTCACGGACAATGAAGGTCCTCCCCGCCACGTCCCACGGACTAACCCGAGGCTTCCTCGAAGACCTAGTGGGTCGCGCTCTTCAGGGGATGATTCGGACAGTGGTCGCAGCGTGCACTCTGTCAAGAGCATGGATTCGAGACTGCCTGTCAGATCACTCATGTCCCCGCCACCTGGGGGACCCTTAATGGCTGTGAAAATGGGTCAGACACAGTCTACTCCTGGTTCGCCGAACCCTGGCCTTGTGAAGATGGGTCATAGAATGGGTGGACTTCACTCGAAGACGGCCTCAGGGCATGGTAGCGATACTTCGAGTGCTGGTGGACACTGGCAAGACAAACCGGCTAAAATCCATTGCCACGCCTCGCAGAGAGAGCTCGCCAAAGCAATTCATGAAAAGCAGCAACCTCTTCAGGGAGAGCAGTGGATCGACGGTCCGGGGGCTGCGATCTACCCAGAGAAATCAAACAGCGAAATGTGGGTGGACGGACCTCAGGCCTTCGTTGTACAACAGCAACCTCAGTCAGCTCTCTCGTCGTCACCTTCATCGCGGGGCGACGCACAGCAGCAACAACAACAGCAGCAGCAACAACAACAGCATCATCACCATCGTTCAGAAAGTGGGTCATCGTCCCACCACCATCGGTCCGACTCAGGCTCTCGGCGCGTGGCGCCAAGAAAGGTAGACGCCGAGGAGCAGTGGGTGGATGGCCCTAGAGAGATGGTGGCTGGCAGCAATCCCTCTCAGCCTTTACACACTTGCAGTAAAGTGTCACACCAGCCCAAGACGATTATGTCCACAGGTGTCAGCGAGAAGGCGTTGAAGCAAGCGTTAGTGAAACATATCATGGAGACAAAGGAGCGTCCGGAGAGTAGCGTCAGTGTGGACAGCGACTCGTCCCTAGCGGTGCAGGCGGCCGAGTCTAGGCCCACCAGCATCCACAGCAGCGACGAGCAGGCTAAGCACTCGGCCAAAGAGTCAGCCGCACCATGTGCGAGTTCTGACTCTGCAAGTAAACATGCGGATATTTCGTCTTCGAGTCCGCTGCTATCAAGCAAAAAGCAAAAACTGTCCTCTGAGCAACAGAAGAAAACGCAACAACCGCTATCTCGAGGTTCCCCTAAAGCCTCCCCCTCTCCTTCCCCTGGGGTTTCTCGTAAATGCAGTAAGCTAGAATCTTCTCACGGTCCGAGGTTACAGAAATCTCAACTGCCGGGCTCAGCTAGCCCCACCCACCGTGTTGTTCAGTGGATCAAGTCAGTGGCGACAGAGCAGCCAGCAGCTGCCCCGCCCTGCCCCAACGTAACGAGCTCCGACCTGCAGGGGACCGAACAGTCAGAGACCGTTGTGATGGCTGATGCTGAGACCAACACGGAGCACGATTCTGATTTCGAACGAATGGCAGAGGAGGGCGGTCTGAAATCGTCTGACAGTAGTGATGAATCTCAGGCTGTGAATTTGTCTGGAAAAAGCAGTGACCAAACAATAGCTAAAGACGATAGGCGCAATAATACCATCATGGCTGAAGCAAGTCTCGACAGTAGTTTTGACGCTTCTTGTGTTACTCGAGACTCCATTTATGAAATGGAAGTAGAAGAAAGATTAGAACTTATGAAGGCAAAGGACGGGTCTCATTTGGCTGCGGAGGTGGATAACGAAACGTTCAGCAGCTTGTCTTGCAGCAATCGCGACCCCGATGAGCTGGATCGCGATCAGGGAAGTGCCGAAACAGAATCACTTTTGGTACAGCACACGACAGCGCTCACCGAGTCCAGGCAGACGGCGAGACTCGCTCGTCACCTCGCACGAGGCCAATGTAAACGGGACCCCTCACCAATCAACTCGGATTACGAGAATGAAATGCTGGAGGCTAGCCGGCCTTTGCTGAGTCGCAAACCTGATGGAGCTTCCAATCCAAACCTTTTGAAAATGTTTTCAGAAGAAGATCCTTTGGGAAAAGAGAAGTTGCACTCTCTTCCCAGTGCGGGTGTTGACACTATGTACGTCATGGCCAGCCACAATGATTCAGGTATTGACTTCCCAACTACCTCATCGCGTTCGTGCAGAACTGAGTTAGGTGACGACGACACGTGTGCTTGTGAAAACGACCTGGCTGGGCAGTCTCTCTGTGGGAAAGACGATTGCTGCAGTGGTAACATTTATAATTCTTTAAGATCTGGTACAAAGAGCAAGCCACCATTACCTTCAAAAGCCTCCCCTACCCTAAAACAAAGCGGCGTCCCAAAGATATCCTCAGGCAGCCCACCCTCCCCTAATTCATCGAGATCTATTTACTGTACTGCTAAGATTCCTGGAAGAGAATCCCCTGTAATGCAGCAGAAGTCTCCTGCCCTTCACAACGCAAAGCTGTCAGGGGTGCCAGTAGTAAACTCTGGCGTGCGTAACAAATTGTGCTCTCGCAGCGAAAAGACTAGTGTCTCTTCGTCGGGCACTTCCCAGAGTCCCCTATCCTCGGCCACATCCAGCCCTCTCGTGACCACCTCGAAATCATCGTCATCTGCGAACTCCTCCCCGTCTCAAAAAGTCATAAACGGGGCAGGCAGTGGTAGTGGTAGCAGTAGTAAGCTTCCGTCCTTCTGCGCCTCCAGAACGTCATCACCGCTGCTAAAGGAAAACGGGAAATCACGAAAGAAAGATAAGGAGAAGGAAGTAAAAGGCGGCAGCTCTCGTGGTACCAAACTCTCGGAGCTCATGCATCGGGGCAAGGGAAATGACTCTGACAGTGGCAACGACAGCGGAATTGTAGCACACGAGAAAAGGCTGCTCTCCCCTTACGCGACTGTGACGAAGCCCAGAACACCAAGCCACTCTAGCAGTGGACATGGTAGTGACAATAGGTAAATAGGTTTTTCCTTCTTTGTCACTTTGATTTATTTTGTTGCTTAAACTGGTGTTTTAGAGATAAAATATAAATTAGGTCACACACCCACACTTACAAACGCTCTCTCTCTCTCTCTCTCTCTCTGTCTTTATCTCTGTCTGTCTGTTTATCTGTATTGCTCGCTCGCTACATCTGACTGCTTGTCTGTCTGTCTGTCTGTCGGTCTGTCGGT